GACCCCCCTCCCACCCCCACCCCGCCATCCCCCGTCTGGGTTGGGGGTGCCAAAGGAAAGCGCCGTGTCCGCCGTCGGAGCTTCCGGCGAGGCCGAACCCACAGCACCCGTTTTCCTGCAGTGCCATGGAGAAGGGGAAGTTGCACAAGGCTGGAAAGGACTCATCGAAGCGCGGGCGGCAGGTCAGCGGGTCTTGGGGCCTGGACAAGCCGGGGAGGACGCTGGGATCCGCCGGGCCTCGCGAGGGGTGGGCGGGGACCAGGCAAGCCCCGCCGGACCCGCGACTGACGTGCGCTCCCTCCCCCAGACACCCGTGCTGTACGCCATGCTGGACCACAGCAGAAGCACCAAAGCGGCCAGCGAAAAGAAGTCCAAGGGGCTGGGGGAGTCTCGCAAGGATAAGAAATAGCGGTTAGCGGGCCGGGCGGGGGCGCGGGGTTCAGGGGCGGAGGCCGCCAAAGGCCCTCAGGTGGTGGTCATCGAGATGGAGCTACGGAAGGATGAGCAGGGCTCGGAGCTCCGGCCTGCTGTCAAGTCCCCCAGCAGAACCAGCCTCAAAAACGCCCTCAAGAACATGATGGGCCTGGACTCGGACAAGTGACCGCCCCCCCAGGCCCTGCCAGCGCAGGGGGACCTAGGCGCCTCTCCTCTCCGTCTAGGCTTTCCTTCCTGGCTCCCCGCCCCGCCCTGCCCTCACCTTCCATGAGATGTAAGTTTCATTCCGGAATCCATTCCCCAGACCATTGTATTCTCACCCACTTTCACCCCCTGGCTTTCCAGGGGCTGATCCTGCCCCTCACCTGCCCCAAGGGCTGTGTGTTTGGTGCCCATCCCCCAGGCACTGAGAAGAAAGGGACCTTGATGCCCTCTGCCTTACCTCCAGGACCCTGGCATTCCCATCTTCCGCACCTCCCCCCACCCCACCCCTCTGTTTGTCTCTTCTCCCCCCACCCATCGGTGACCCATCTCTGCACTCTATCCTTCCAGCTAACACCCAGATCGCCCGGATCACACTCTCCTTCAGGGTTTATTTAGGTTGTTGATTTTTTTTTTTTAATCCATTCTTTGTTTGTTTGTTTGTTTGTTTACCCAAGCCCACGATCTGCCCTCACCCTCATGACTGAGGACCAATGACGTCATGTGGCTTTTGCAATTCCTCCCCCTCTCACATCCTTAGTGGAGAGCCAGCCCAAGCAGAGGAGCCCCTGACCTCAAGCCTCGCGATAGTGTTGGTGCCCCCTGACGACTCTGGAGCACTGTTCTGGGCCGCAAGGTCTTGGGGAAGGAGAGACAGGAGTGAGGTAATGGATCCTCCAGGTCAGGGGGTAGACAAGGTGGCAAGTGAGCCTTAAGAAATGGTTTTTAAACAACCAAACAGAAAGCAGAAAAAAACAAGTGAGAAGTAGGGGGAGAAGGAAGAGGCTGCACTTCAGCCACAGGGGATTCTTAGGGTTTTTCTACATTCTGTATATTTTCAAAGATCCAAATGTCCTTATATGTTTAATAAACACTGACATTTCCAGAAACTGCTGCCTCTGTCTCCAGTTTCCTAGTTATCCTGGGAATAATCCCTGCCCCTTTCCTATCCCCAACCTCCCACACTTGGTTTCAGCTGTTGAGCTTGTTACTTTGGTTTGGACTTTTATAGTACTGCAGAAAGAACTGAAATAGGGTCACAAGACATTCATACATTCAACAAAAATGTAGTGAGCTTATACTGTGTGCTAAACTGTCTAGCTCTGCTTTACTTGAGTTGAAACACAGACTCCTACTTCACCAAGATCTGAATTTTAAAACATCCCTGCCATTCACTAACCGTGTGACCCAGGATGGTTACTTGACTTTGGTAAACTTGCTTATATGCTTGTAAACAACTGAAATAATGATACCTCTCCGGCTTAATTCCCTGGATTTTTGTGGGAATCAAATGAGATTCTATGTATGGAAAACTTTGTAAACTATAAGTTGATATACCTGGGCAACTTGGCGAGACCTCATCTCTACAATAAATCAAAAAATTAGCCGGGTGTGGTAGTGCACGCCTGTAATTACAGTTACTTGGAAGGCTGAGGTGGAAGGATCGCCAGAGCCCAGCAGTCCAGTCTGGGTGCACTCCAGTCTGGGTGACAGAGTGAGACTCCAACTCAAAAAAAAAAAAATTAAAAACTAAAATATTAAAGAATTTAATATTTGTTTCTAGCTCTTGCCTAAGGGAGTATACTGGACAAACTAGCACAAATCCCATCCACCTTTCTAAACACACACACAACTCTGTTTTGTTGGTGCACTATTTTTACCTCTCTTTACCATTATTTACCTCTATCTACCTATATTAATAGGTATACTATTAATTCCTCATTAGCTAGTTTGTTAGTATGTCAACTTAGGTACACCATTAATATACTGGAATCCTTAAATGATTGTGGAAAAACATATATGTGTTATTTTCCCCTGGGGTTTATTGATAACCAAAAACCCCAAGATATCCACATGTAATTTCTTCCCCTTGTTAAGAGGCTAAAGATATGATGACCACTAGCTTTGACAAAACCCAGAATGCTTCCATTTATTTGAGGGGTGTCTTTTACTTCTTTTTTTTTTTTTTTCTGAGTTGGAATCTCACCCTGTTGCCTAGGCTGGAGTGCAGTGGCATGCTCACGGTAACTGTAGCCTCGACCTGCTGGGCTCAGGCCATCCTTCTGCCTCAGCCTTTCAAGCAGCTAGAATTACAGGCACGTACTACCACACCCAGCTAATTTTTTGATTTCTTGTAGAGACAAGGTCTCGCCAAGTTGCCCCGGCTGGTCTCGAACCCCTGGATTCAGGCAATCCTCTTCCCTCAGCCTCCCAAAGTGCTGGGATTACAGGCTTGAACCACTGCGCCCAGCCTTTCACTTCTTTTAAAAGAAAAGTAATCTGAATTCAGTTTCATATAAAAACTAATAGATTATATATAGCATTTTGGAAGATGAGAAAGAAATCTTAGTCACAGCTCAACAGAGTTGGAGGTATCTAAGCTCAAGATTCCTTATTAGTTAAGATGTTAAACTGTTGTTATTCTTTAGATGGTTGCAGCTGGGTACCCTGCTTAAACTTCTCTGGGTGTTATGAGAGTCAAATGAGACAACATGTCGCTTCTGAGACATAGCATAGCCCAAAGCTTCTTATTTAAATACATTTTTATTCTCAAATGTGTCAGCTACCTGCATTTTGCCAGATCAGCTTACCCAATTGTTTAATGATTCCATAAAGATTTCTGGTACCCAGAAACAGTATTTTATATCCTTTCCACCATGTATTTTCACAAGCATTACACATTTCCATGGGTTTTTACAGGACTGTACCCATTTTCCCCAATTCCCACCATCATAAGTCACATCTATCCTGTCTCTCCTCTGCAATAAAGCATTAAATAAAGCCTAGATGTGGTAGCGCGCGCCTGTAATTCCGGCTACTCGGAAGGCTGAGGTGGAAGGATCGCCGGAGCCCAGCAGGTCGAGGCTGTGGTGGCCGGGAGCGGCCACTGCACTCCAGTCTGGGCGACAGAGTGAGACTCCAACTCAAAAAAATAAAAAATAAAATAAATAAATAAATAAAACCTAGAATAATGGTTCAGGTAAAGGGAACTGGCATTGTTATATGGAAAATTTTGACTCCATCTAATTATTACTTTTAAATAAATCATTCGCAATCCTCAGAGCATTATTAATAATAACATTAATTTTGACCAGGCATGTGAGTACTTTGAGAATAATTTAAAACCTCTTTCAATGTTAACCTCAAAAAACCCCCCATCAAATTATAACCCAATTTATCAATACACATATTTTTTTAAATCTAAATAAAATGTTAGCAAATGAAATTCTACAGTGAGTTAATACAATAATACATTATGACCACAAATAACTTATGCTGGGAATGAGAGAATAGTTCAGTATCAGGAAATCTACTAATAGAATGTATTATATTAACCTAGAGGGGAAAAGATTATATAAAAAGAAGATGTTAAAAAAAACACATTGGTAACATTTAGTAGCTGTTTCTAAAAATGCTCTAGGTAAAACAGGAATAGAAATAAACATGCTAAAGACTAATTTTAAAATCATAAAAAAATATTAAATATGAAACATCGCAGCCATTGTCAATAAAATAGAAAACAAGACAGTACATCCGTTATCACTAATAATATTCAATATCTTTTTTTCTAATCAACCAATGAACAGGAACAATACTGTCTTTAAAGAATTTAGTATTGTAATAAACCAAGAACAAAGAACAGCCTGTACACATATTAGAAGAGAAAATTATCTTTATTTGCAGATAATATAATTACATTCCTAGGAAATTCATAAGATTCAACTAGAAAATTACTAAAGTAGGCCAGGTGTAACCTGTAATCCTAGCACTTGGGAGGCCAAGGCAGAAGCATCCTCAAGGCCAGGAGTACAAGATCAGCCTGGGCATCAAAGCAAGATCATGTCTTTACAAAAAAATTTAAAAATTAGACCTTGACTCAACAAAAACAGTAAAAATTCATTAGGCATGGTGGCATGTGCCTGTTGTCCCAGCTACTTGGGAGGCTGAGGCTACTTGGGAGGATCACTTGATCCCATGTATTTGAGGTTGCAGTGAGCCATGATTGAGCCACTGCACTCCAACCTTGGTGACAGAGTGAGATCCTGTCTCAAAAAGAAAAGTATTGAACTAACAAGGCAATTTGGCAGTGTGATGACAAGATAAATTATCAAAATCTATGACTAGAAATCTAACTAGAAATAGAAATAAGGAAGAAGCTCATAGATTACAGTAAAAAGAACACAAACAAACAAAAAAAAAAACAAGACAGGCACATCACCTGTATGAAGAAAATTATAAAATTCATTAAAGGACTCAAATATGTCACAATTAAAATGGAGTCATGTGTGTTAAAACAAAATTCTGGGACCAGGCTCGGTGCCTCAGCCTGTAATCCCAGCACTTAGGGAGGCAGAGCCGAGTGGACTGCCTGTGCCCGCGGGTTCGAGACCAGCCTGGGCAACTCGGCGAGACCGCATCTTTACAATAAATCAAAAATTAGCCGGGTGTGGTAGCACACACCTGTTGTTCCAGCTCCTTGGAAGGCTGTGGCAGAAGGATCACTGGAGCCCAGCAGGTCGATGCTGGGATGGCCATGAGTGTGCCACTGCCCTCCAGCCTGGGCAACAGAGTAAGACTCCAACTCAAAAAAAAAAAAAAAAATCCTGAAGAGAAGGGTTCTCATACATAAATACCTGACAACAAAAGCTATCACCAGAGACTGCAAAAATGGCAACCTTGTGCAGAGGCCATTGCAGCCTCATACCAAAAATACTTCTCTGAGGACATCTGCTCAGCAACTGTGTCCAGCCTCAGACTGGCATCACTTTCATTATTGATCCTTGTAGCAAAGGATAATTGTTTCACAATAGTTATGTAATCCTCATTTTTACATTAAAAGCTTTTGTCTTCCTTTACCTCTCTGAATTCTCACATAGTTTACTTTGGCATACATATTCCCATAGTAATGTCCTATTCCCAAATAAATACCATTTTCTTTTCAAGTCTTTCTCTCTTTGTTATTTA